AGATTCATTCACATGATTTAACTACCTATGTTGAATTCCCAATTGAATTAAAAATGATAGAAAGCAATAAATAACTCAACAAATTGTTGATGGAGAAAACCCAACTGGGTAAAAACTCCAAGCACAACTATAGAAGACTTCAACTTACAGTACGCCAGACATGACTGTATCTAACAATACTCTGACCTCCTTACTGTATCAACCAAAGCTCTCATGGATTCTGTCGATCTGCGCCAAAATCCCAGCCTTGTTCTTCTTCTATTTCCCTTGAATCAGTAAGAACTCCAGTTTTTCAATCAATCTCCTTCCCGGATCTTCAATCAATCAATCTTCTGAAAGTAGTGAGGATTTTTGAAAGGTGTTTTGTTTTAAGAGGTGTTTGATATTTTTCTTTAATAAGACATGTGATGAAAAGAAGGAATTATGAAGTTGATCCTTTGGTTGAGAGGAAAAATCTTTCAATTGTGTTTTTCCAAAGGTTGTGTATGAAAAAGGGGACTTTTGAATATATATGAGGTCGTTTTTGGTAGTATGGAGCATCTAAAAATTGCAAGGAAGGAAAATTACCAAAAGCCGGATAGCACTGTCGCTCGAGCGAAGTGCCAGCGAAACTCTAGCGACGCACTTTCGCTCGAGCGAAGTAGTGGTGAAACTCTAGCGAGATAGGTTCTGTTATTTAGGCTCGAGCGAGGTCAGGGCATAACTCTAGCGTGATCTTGCGCCGTTTTCATCTTCAAGGCACCCAACTTTACCCTAGACCTATACCATAATTTTTGCTAAATTGCAACACAAGTCCCTGAACTTTTAGACCTTTACAAATTAGTCCTTGACTTTACAAACTTGACAAATTGGTCCTTTTGGTCACAGATTGCCAATTACAATATTTTCTTAACAAACTCCCCCTTTGGCATTCTGTGACAAAATTACACAAGACAGTCAAGGATACAAAAAGAAATGTAACTCTAAACGACCTATCCATTCAACCAAAGCAGCTATCTTTTGTCGAACCTGTTTCCTGAATACAGAAACTCAATACCAAGTGTAAAAGCACGTGAAATGGAAACAGTAAATAAAACAAGGAATAGTGGGTATGTCATTAGCCAGATTAAGAAGCAATAGTAATGTAAGTCAAAAACACCAAAAACATACATCAATATTGCTAAAATATCAAAAACTTAATCTAGCCATTGAATAGATACAAAACCACAGTTATATCACAATTAATCAAAAAATGAGATCTATCTATCTATCATATATCTACTCCCCCTTTTTGTCAAAAATGACAAAGGAGCAAAAACAAAAACTACGCGGCAGCACCACCCGTACTTGAAGACTCATCACCAGTCTCCTCACTCGTGCTCTCATCCAAGTGATCACGGATCCAACGTAACTGACGCTGACACACAGCCAGAGCACGCCGAAATGTAGAAAGCTCAGCCGACTGACGCTCCGAAGCAACACGTAACTGCGTGATCTCGGCCATCATACGAGCTTGCTGCTCAACCAAATTAGACATCTGTCCCATAAGCGTCACCATGGGGTCAATGGGCAAGAAAGCCATCCCTGGAGCGGAAGTAGACGTCGAAGGAAGGTCGGCCTGAGACGGATGAGCCGGAGGAATATCCAAACGAGGAAGAAGAAAGACACAGGAACCCCAAGAAAGGATGTCACTAATAGGATCAAGGGGCTCCGAAAGGTCAAAAATATTAACTGGCTCATCATGAGCTGCAGCATGAGTAGAAGAAGAGGACGGGACGTGGGATCGAATCTGGTGGATGGTCTGTTATCCTATCGGACGACCTATACGACTAGACGACCCCTCAGGGAAAGAAGCACCAAGAGATAGGAGAACCCTATAAATCAGACAGGCATAAGGCAAACCTATACGACCCCCAGGAGTACGAAACAAAGCTAGAATCTGTTGGCACACAAAACTAGGAAGGTCTATAGAGTCCCCATGAAGAAGGGCATAGAGAAAACGGGCCCGCACCATAGGTAAAGAAGAAGTATGGGCAACGGGCCACAGGTTTGTGCACGCGATGCGCAACAAGACCCCTCTATCAGTAGGTAAGGAACCCGTGGCCATCGCCATAGGCCCCCTAGTAGACGGGGTGTTCAAAAGAGTCGACCGAACAAGGGCATCGGCCGGAAGAGAAGCAGGAAGAATGTAAGGATAAGTCGGATGGAGAATCTAAGGTATAACTAACACAAGAGCTACCGCAGACGGAGTAACTCGAAAAGAATGACCTCTAAGAAAAACCCTAAACGACGAGCCGTCCACATCATGAATATTAGCATAAAACTCCTGAACTAGGAGTGGAGGTGACGGTGTAAGACCAATAAGAAAGGGCTCCCAACCCCGGGAAACAAAAATAACGGCGATGTCAACAGGAAGGTCAGACAAAATTACCTCACGCTCCATGAGAATGGGGCGTAAGGAGAACTGACAAGTGAAAACTTCCTGAGCTATAGTAGAAATAAACCTGGATCTACTGTAAGATGTCGAACCACTAGCGGGCTGTGCAGAGGGACGAGAACGCTTACGGGCCATCTAGCACACGCGGAGATGAAAAGAATAAGTATCATGGAAAATGCACGTACCACGATGCAATATGACATGAGAAGATGCACACACAAACACATAGATGAGGCATAAAGAAAATGAATCGAACCACGTAAACGACACGCAGAACAAAACAAGCATGATTGAGTGAGAGTCCAAAAATATGATCAAACCACATAAACTTGAAAGAAGACACACACAGCACATTATGACGTGCAAACAAATAGGAAAGAACGAAGGAAAAAAGAAGAAAAACAAAGAAAACCAAAACACACATAAGAGGTGAACTTTCATCGAACACGTGACGGGCGCGACTTCGGCACCAAATTCCAAGCACATACGGGACCCAATCACAAATCCAAACACATCCCTAAAAACTAAACTCCATGGACTTTACAACCATCCAAGCCACATATCAAACCGATTAACGAAACGCAAGAACGACTCCAATGAAAATGCACAATTCATGGAAATTGGTGATGCAAAACATGTTTAAGAACAATAGAAATAGTCAAGGAATGCACAAAGCAACAATATAACGAAGCAATGAGAGAAACAAATTAAAAAAAAAAAACAAAGAAACAGTAAAAAAAAAAACAAAAAACAGAAACTGTGAATTACCCAAAAATGTAAAGCCAAGAGTTGAAACTTCGGATCAAGAATTGTGTTAAATGTGTCGAATTGAGGCAAAAGTTAATGGGAAGTGAATAATATTGATAGAAGAATAGAAAGAAAGGAAGAAGAAGAGAAAAAGATCGAATCGCGCGAAAAAAATGAAATAGGGCCGCTTTAAAAGGAATTGTCGCTCGAGCGAGACCTGGGCGAAACTCGAGCGACATCCATTCTGCTTTTGTCGCTCGAGCGAAGTCCAGGTGAAACTCGAGTGGAAATCAAATGTCAAAAATAGCACCAAAAATTTGAAATTGAAGAAAAATAGCACAATTTTCAGAAAATAACAAAAATAGCTCCAAAAACGTTTATTTTTATGTTCATTTTGAATTTTTGTTATATCAAAACAATCCAAAAATCGAAAATGAAGCACGTACCCAAATATGTAGACGATGCAAACAATAAGCACAAAATCACAAACTCAACATTCAGAACACATAGACAAATCTTAAGTCCACACATAGTTCAAAATCCCGTGGAGTAAATTGTATACAGAACATCAACATGAAATGTGCCACGTAGTCCATGCAAGTTAGACTCAAACCCTTAAATTAGTGAGAAAGGACATGTGAAAACAACTATAAAGGAGTATATATCGACCAAGTGACAGTCAAATCCAATTCCACGAGGACCTATATCAAACAGTATTATTGTCACAATTTTACTCCCCCTAACTGTATGCCATATATATATATATATATATATATATATATATATATTCTACCCTCATTAGGCGATAGAAATGATCCTGGTAACGAACTTTGGGCTGGTGACTCCCAAGCCAGATGACCATAGGGCACCAGGTTAGAAACCCCTAAGGCTTAATTGTTCGAGTCAAATAGGCCTCGAAGATAGACATAAGTTCAGAGAATAACATAGAAACTGGGGAAAGACAGAATTGAGTAGGCTACACTCATCACAGATCAAGTCAAATGGACAAACAACCCCAATCAAAGAAGAATATCATCCCAAGTCTCACCCATGCGGTCAAGACTCGCCTACAGGATTACAGTGTGTGCTGTGCAAAAATGCATGACGAGCCATATATTAAGAACTCCACAGAAAATAAGAACTACGATGGAACCTCAGACTCGTACATATGATGAAAGATAGAGTTTGATCCTAAATGCAAACGTCATAAAGTCACACAAGAGGCACACAAAAAGAAAATCCCCCTTTTTTCTTCTTCTTCTTTTTTTTTTTTTTTTTTTTTTTTTTTTTTTTTTTTTTATAACCAAAGATGGAACCTCAGACTCGTACATATGGTGAAAGATAGAGTTTGATCCTAAACGCAAATGTCATAAAGTCACACAAGAGGCACACAAAAAGAAAATCCCTTTTTTTAAAACACACAAACTTAGTAAACAAAATAAAACTAAAAGACGAACCAACAATCAAAATGCACCACACACACATTGATCACATGCAAGATATGAAGTGAATAAGTGCAGATGTAATAAATGCATGAATAGGCATGAATCCATGATCAGATAGGCAAACAAATACCAACAGCCATCCGAAGCGACTCAAAGCTCAACCCTTCTAGTGGTTTCATAACTAGATCGACCAATTGGTTGTCAGTAGAGACGTGATCTAGGGAGACAACATGTGTTTCAACACGTTCACGAATAAAAGGATGTCGTATGTCAATATGTTTCGGTCGAGAATGTTGAATAGGATTCTTAGAGATATTTATAGCACTGGTATTATCACAGAAAACAGTCATGGTCCCTTGATTAATCCCATAATCACTCAGCATCTGCTTCATCTAGAGAAGCTGAGTGCAGCAACTTCCAACTGCTATGTATTCGGCCTCTGTCGTGGATAGGGATATGGAATTTTGTTTCTTACTTAACCAGGCTACGAGATTGCTACCCATGTAGAAACAGCCCCCATATGTACTTTTTCTATCATCTGCATTCCTAGCCCAATCGGCGTCAGAGTAGCCAGCTAAATCAAGATTAGAATCTCTAGAATAGAAAATGCCTAGATCAACGGTACCACTCACATATCTAATGATGCGTATAATCAAGCTTAAGTGTGATTCTTTGGGATCTGCTTGAAATCGAGCACACATTCCAACACTGAAAGCAATGTCAGGTCTAGTAGCTGTGAGATAGAGAAGACTACCTATCATACTTCGATATAGTGAAGGATCTACACTCTTACCTGAAGGATCACGACCTAACTTCAAGCTAGTACTCATAGGTGTCCTAGTATGCTTCTTACTGTCTAACCCAAAGCGCTTAACTAAATCCTTTGCATACTTAGACCGTGAAATAAACAACCCATCCTCAGCCTGTTTCACCTGAAGTCCAAGGAAGTAACTCAACTCACCAACCATACTTATCTCAAATTCTTGCTTCAAACACTCAGCGAACTCATACGTTAGATACTCAATGGGAGAACTAAAAATGATGTCATCGACGTAAATTTGGGCAATAGTGATAGTTTTTTCAATATGTCTAATAAATAAGGTCCTATCAACACCACCTCGAGAGAACCCATGTTCCTCAAGATATGACGTAAGTCTCTCATACCAAGCTCTAGGAGCTTGTTTTAGACTATAGAGTGCTTTGTGGAGTTTGTAGACATAGTGGGGAAACTTTGGATCAACAAATCCTTTTAGTTGTTCAACATAGACTTCTTCTTGAAGAAGTCCATTCAAGAAAGCACTCTTAACGTCCATTTGATGAAGCTTGAACCCTAGGGTACAGGCAACAGCAAGCAGAATTCGAATGGACTCAAGTCGTGCAACAGGAGCAAAAGTCTCATCAAAATCAATTCCCTCAACTTGAGTATAACCCTGAGCAACTAATCTGGCCTTATTTCTGGTTATAGTACCTTGGTCATCTGTCTTGTTCTTAAAGATCCACTTAGTACCAATAACATTACAGTTTTCAGGTCTAGGAACTAAAATCCACACATTGTTTCTAGCAAATTGATTTAGTTCCTCATACATCGCATTCACCCAACACTCATCACAAAGAGCCTCTTCGACTTTCTTGGGCTCAACCTATGAAACATAGCTAGTATACGCTAGATTGTTCAGTACCCTTTTACGAAGCCTCATACCTTCATCTAGATCCCCAATGATATTGTCCTTAGGATGATTGGACGTGACCCTAGACGATGGTTCCTTAGGATTTTTGTCTCGATCTTGTGGATGTGTTTCCTTTTCAGGTGTTTCAAGTATTCTAAGAGATGATTCAGACACAGGTAGTTCAGTAGGATCACTAGACCTTATAAGATCACCATTTCTATCGTCCATCCTATCACAATTTTCAACATTCTCCCCCTTACTCACAGCATCATCTATCACAACATTGACTGACTCCATCACAACACGAGTACATGAATTATATACTCGAAATGCTCGGCTATTTCTAGAGTACCCTAAGAAAATTCCTTCGTCACTCTTAGATTCAAACTTACTCAAGTTCTCTCTATCATGCAAAATGTAGCACTTACTCCCAAACACACGAAAGTATTTTAACAGTAGGCTTTTTACCCTTTAGAATCTCATATGGAGTCTGATCGGTTTTAGGTCTAAGGTAGACTCTATTGATTATGTGGTATGCAGTATTAACAGCTTCTCCCCAAAAATGTAAGGCTAGTCCCTTGCCATAAAGCATGGCTCTAGCCATGTCCTGAAGAACACGATTCTTCCTTTCAACCACCCTATTTTGTTGAGGAGTGATAGGGGAAGAGAACTCATGTAGTATGCCTTCATCCATGCAGAAACTCTTAAGATTAAAATTTTCAAACTCTTTTCCATGATCACTATGCATTCTGGACACTTTGAGATTGAGTTCATTACTAAACCGTTTACATAAAGATTTTATAAGATCACATGCATCAGATTTTTCCCTAAGCAATTCTATCCATGTGAACCTCGAGAAATCATCTACCACAATCAAAATATACCGCTTACCTCCTAAACTCTCAGTCCTAGATGGTCCCATTAAATCCATGTGTATCAATTCCAGTGGTCTTTTGGTCAGAATTTTAGAAGTCTTTTTATGGCTTCCCTTAAGTTGTTTACCTAGTTGACATGGTCCACACACAACATTTTCACTAGGACCTATTTTAGGCAAACCATCTACCAACTCCTTTTTAGCCAGATGTACTAGACTCTTGTAGTTTAAATGACCCAATCTTTTGTGGCAGAGTTCATTCACATCAATTTTTGCACTCCTACACACATAGTTAGAATTAGGTAGGACTCCATAACAGTTATCAGACGTTCTAACCCCTTCAAGGACCACCACACCAGATGAATCATACACGGTACATCTCTTTTGCACAAAGCTAACCTCAAAATCAGCATCATAAATCTGACTAATACTTAACAAGTTCGACTTTAAACCTTTCACATAAAGCACATTTGAAATCACAGGTAATCCATGCATTTGTACAGTACCTTTGCCAAGAATAGGTGCAGAACCCCCATCTCCAAAGGTAACCATACCCCCATTGCATTCATCAAGAGTAGTGAATAAAGCCTTGTTACCACACATATGCCTAGAGCATGCACTATCTAGGTACCACATATTATAATTTTGGGCTTTTAATGCAACATGAGCAACATAACAATTTACCTGACCTGAATGTCCAGCTAGATCCCCCATTTTAACCCAAGCTTTCTTAGATGACAAGGTACTCCTAGTTAGCTTAGTAAGCATCTCAGTCAAATGACTAACTTGATTAGACAGAAAGCTAACCTGACTAGGAATATTCAGATTTCTACGCTCATTGCCTAACTTATAACATCTAGGCCTAGTGCGTCCTAGAGCTCCACAGTGGTGACAGGTGGGAATGAACCTAGGCTCAAAGGTACGTGTCTGTGGGTATCTGGGCATGATATTCCTACGTGATTGATGAATCTGTTCCCTCGGAACATTCTTACCCTTATTTGGATTGCTGACAACGTTAGATTTCTTAGAGGCAGAAACAAATACAGTCTTAGACGAACCAGCAACATGTGTATTATCCTCAACATATCCTAGACCTTTCCTATCTCCCGCAGGCCTATTCATTCCTAAAATATCATCCAATTTCTTAGTCCCACTTATGAAAGTCTGAAGATGAGCATTAGATTTCTCCAATTCACTAGTCAATGTCTTAACCTTGTCTTCTAACTTCTCATTGACACATTTTAACTCACTAACACTCTTAAGTGAATTCTGAAGATTACTAGCAAGTCTTTCTTTTTCTCTTTCAAGTTCATCAACCTTTTTGAGTAGGGCTTTATTGACCTTTTTGATTTAAGACTCTCCTTGAACAAGAGTTGATAGGCCTCTTGTATGTCTATATCATCCTCATCCTCATTACTAGAATTATAGTTGTGAAGTTCTTCCTCAACCTTGTCACTCTCCTTATCAGATTCACTCTTAATAGTCGACACAAATGCCATATAGTTCCCTTCATCTTCACTACTAGATGATTCCTGCCTATCACTAGACTCAGATTCGTTATCCGTAAGTGAAACAACTAAGGCCTTACCTTTCCCTTTTCTTTGATTCTTCTTATAACTAGGACACTTATTCCTATAGTGACCTATACCTTGATATTCATGGCACCTAACAAAACGTGGTTTATCACTAGAACCTTTATTGTTGAACCTTTCAGTTTTTTCCTTTGAGAATCTGCTAGGGGCTCCACTTTTTCTATCCTGAGGCATTCTCCTATTCTTGAGAACCTTTTGAAATTTCTAAACAAAATATGCAATTTCATCGTCCCTAAGAGACTCAGTATCAGAATATTTATCCTCTTTGATGGATTTTAAAGCAATGGACTTTCCTTTCTTAGGTTGTGTGACAATGAGTTCATAAGTTTGCAAGGATCCTACAAGGTCTTCAATCTTAACTTCATCTAGATCCTTACTTTCCTCAATGGCGGTAACTTTAGGCCTAAATCTCTCGGGCAAGGACCTAAGTACTTCTCTAACAATTTTAGACTCGGGAATTCTCTCGCCTAGATTGAAACTAGAATTAACAATATCATTTAGTTTTGCATAAAATTCATCAAAGGTTTCATTATCCTTCATCCTCACTTCTTCAAACCTAGAAACTAGCATTTGTAATTTCGAGTTCTTTACCGTTTTAGTTCCCTCATGTGTAGTTTCAAGAATGTCCCAAACTTCTCTTTAGCAGTTTCTCACATTGACACTCTCCTAAACTCTTCGAGAGACACGACCATAAATAAGGCATGAAGTCCCTTGCTATTCCAATTACACTCAGCTATCTCATCCTTAGTCTATAGTGATATATCAGTAAGATTAATAGTTCCAGATACGGTAGTGGAGGGAGGTTTCCAGCCATTTTGTACACTCACCCAAACATGCTCATCTAGAGACTTAAGAAACACACACATTCTAACCTTCCAGTAAGCATAATTACTTCCATCAAAATACGGAGCTACAGAAAGTGATTGACTCATCTAGATAACTATGTGTCAGGACTTGAGATTTGGCTCTGATACTACTTGAAAAGACTATAGTTCGACCCAAATAACACCTAGAGGGGGGTGAATAGGTGTTTATGCTGATTTTAACAATTCGATCAACTTATGCAACAAGTCACATAAATTAAACTTTGTCCAGATTCATTCACATGATTTAACTACCTATGTTAAATTTCCAGTTGAATTAAAAATGACAGAAAGCAATAAATAACACAACAAATTGTTGATGGAGAAAATCCAACTGGGTAAAAAGTCCGGGCATAAGCCAGTAGGGATTCACTATAGAAGACTTCAACTTACAGTACGCCAGACATGACTGTATCTAATAACACTCTGATCTCCTTATTGTATCAACCAAAGCTCTCCTGGATTCTACAGATCTGCGCCAAAATCCCAGCCTTGTTCTTCTTCTATTTCCCGGGAATCAGCAAGAACTCTAGTTCTTCAATCAATCTCCTTCCCGGATCTTCAATCAGTCGATCTTTTGGAAGTAGTGAGGATTTTTGAAAGGTGTTTTGTTTTAAAAGGTGTTTGATGTTTTTCTTCAATAAGACATATGATGAAAAGAAGGAATTATGAAGTTGATCCTTTGGTTGAGAGGAAAAATCTTTCAATTGTGTTTTTCCAAAGGTTGTGTATGAAAAACGGGACTTTTGAATATATATGAGGTCGTTTTTGGTAAATTGCAAGGAAGAAAAATTACCAAAAGCCGGATAGCACTGTCATTCGAGCGAAGTGCTGATGAAACTCTAGCAACGCACTTTCGCTCGAGCGAAGCAGTGGCGAAACTCTAGCGAGATAGGTTCTGTTATTTAGGCTATAGCGAGGTCAGAGCGAAACTCTAGCGTGATCTTGCACCATTTTCATCTTCAAGGCACCCAACTTTACCCTAGACCTATACCATAATTTTTGCTAAATTGCAACACAAGTCCCTAAACTTTTAGAGCTTTACAAATTAGTCCTTGACTTTACAAACTTGACAAATTGGTCATTTTGGTCACAGATTGCCAATTACAACATTTTCCTAATAGAGAGCATGCTCATAAGGACACTTGGTAAAGCCATTCTCCTGAAAATATTTATCAATTCTACAATTTCAAGCTCTTGGTGCTTGCTTTAGGCCGTAAAGAGCTTTCTTTAATTTCAACACTTTGTCCTCATTTCCTTTTACTACAAAGCCATCGGTTGTTACACATAAACCTCCTCTTCAACATAGCCGTTGAGAAAGGCTGACTTGACATCCATTTGAAAAACCTTCCACTTGTTTTGAGCAGCTAAAGAAATTATCAGTCGTATGGTCTCTAACTGAGCTACTGGAGCGAAAACTTCTTCATAATTGATGCCTTGACATTGTTTGTATCCTTTCACCATGAGTCTTGCTTTGTATCTTTCCACCTCTCCTTTTGGATTTTTCTTAGTTTTGTACATCCATTTAACTTTGATGGCAGCATATCCCTTGGGAAGAGTTGTTAATTCCCAAGTATTGTTCTTCTCAATTGCTCTGATTTTTTCATTTGTGGTTTTTCTCCATTTCTCATCCTCAACAGCTTCATTAAAACCTATGGGCTCAATATTTGCAAACAGACAGAAGAAAGTAATATCGTCAATTCTCTCAGTTTCACGATATATATCATCAAGCCTCCTTGTACGCAAAGGCCTTTCACTTGAATTTCCTTCAGAAACATCAATTTCACCAGGTGATGTTGGAGGAGTGGTGGTCTCATGTCTTTCTTCATTGTCATCTTCTTCCTCCAAGAAAGGAAGAAAGTCATAGTTATCTTCTTAAACATGCCAATTTCATGTTGCTTCCTCATCAAAATCCACATCTCTATTAATAAACATCCTCCTATTACTTGGATTATAGAGCTTGTAGCCTTTTGTCCTTGAATCATAGCCAACGAACACACATTTTTTACTCTTGTCATCAAGTTTCGAGCGCTTCTCATTAAGAACATGGGCATATGCAATGCATCCAAATACCTTCAAATGAGGTACTGCTGGTTTTCTCCCATTCCATGCTTCAAGTGGAGTCTTGTAGGCTAAAGCCTTTGTGGCACACTGACTCAACAAGTAGACAGCACAATCAACAGCTTCTACTCAAAATTCTTTTAGCATTTTCTTTGTCTTCATCATGCTCCTTGCCATATTGAGAATTGTTCGGTTCTTTCGTTCAACAACACCATTCTGCTGTGGAGATCCTGGAGCGGTTAAGAATTGACGAATTTCGTTGGCATCACAGAAGTCTTGAAAATTTCTGGAAGTGAATTCGCCTCCTCTATCTGATCTTACATCCTGGATTTTAAATTTACTTTCTCTTTCTACAAAAGCTTTAAAATTCTGAAAGCACTTAAACACCTCCGATTTTTCTTTTAGAAAATACACCCATATTTTTCTACTGAAATCATCAATAAACAAAAGAAAATATTTGTTCTTACCAAAAGAACATGAAGTGATTGGCCCACATACATCAGTGTGTATTAATTGTAGTTGCCTTGAAACTCTTGATTAAGATTCTTTTGGAAAGACCTTTCTTGAATTTTTACCAAGAAGACACCCTTCACAAAACTGATTAGGCTGATGTATTGGAGGCAAACCTTTCACCATTCCATTGCTAATCATTATCTTGAGCCCTCCAAAATTTATATGTCCGAATCGTAAATGTCACAACCATAATGAGTCTTTATAACACGGCGTCAAACACTTAGCCATATCAGTTTGTATGGACAACACAAACAAACGATTTTTTGCCATAGGTACTTTAGCAATCAAATTTTCAACATCATCCTTTAAAAACATACTGCAACCTTTCGTGAACAAAACATAACCTTTCTCCAATAATTGACCCACACTCAAAATATTACTTTTCATATCTAGAGCATAATAAACATTAGAAATAAATTTGTGATTTCTATCTTTCATATGTACCAAGATTTTACCTTTCCCCCTTATTGGAATTTTGGAGAAATCCCCAAATGTGATATTGCCACCAACCTTTTCATCATGCTCTATGAACAAATATTTGTTCACACACATGTGATTACTAGCTTCAATATTAGGGAACCAAGAATGTTTTTCTCCTTGCTGCAAGTCCTTGCAAGCTATCAAAAAAGTAGACTCTATCTCTTCATTATTTTCTATATCTTCTTCATGAGAAAGGTTAGCTTTCGCACCATCACCACTTTTACATTCCCATGAATAATGTCCAAATTGATGACAAGTATAACATTTAACGTGTGACTTGTCATACTTCTTTTGATATGGTCTTGCTTCTCCTCTGCCACATCCTATTGTTGAGTTGGATTGATAATTTTCATCTCTACATTGAAATGAAATATAGTTACCTCTTCCTCCTCTTCCAAAGCCTCATCCACACCCTAGTCCTTTGAAACTTGTATTTCCCTTTTCTTCCATGTATTTCAATGTGAGCTTTGATTGTAAAACCTGCTCCAATGGCTCCTTCCTTCTTCTATTAAGCTTCTCTTCATATGCTTACAATGATCCGCTTAATTCTTCAATTGTCATATCTTCCACGTCCTTCGATTCTTCAATGGCAGTCACCACGTGATCAAATTTCTCACTAACTGATCTAGGGATTTTCTCAATCACCCTTAAATCAGTCACATCTTCATCAAGCCTCTTCATTTGGTTTGCAACGGTCACCACTCTTGAAATATAATCTGACGGATTTTTGAATTTCTTCATTTGAATAGCTTCAAATTCACCTTGTAGATTTTGGAGGCGAACTTTCTTTACCGTCTCCTTTCCTTTGCAGGCAACCCGCATATCCCATAATTGATTTGTTGTAGTAGCATTAGAAACCTTCTTAAAAGTGATCTCATCCAATGCTTGGTGAATAATAGAAACAGCCTTTTGATCCTCCCTCTTAGTGCTTTGTAAAAGATCCTTTTGTGCTTTAGTGAGAGCAACTAGATCGGTGGGAGCCTCATAACCATTCTCCACGATGTCCCATGCATCATGTGCACCAAGTAGTGCCTTCATGCGGATGCACCAATTATCAAGTTTCTCTTTGGACAGTTTTGGAACTTGGAAGGGGATCATGTTGGTTTTTGCCATTGTTTCTAATATTTGTGGCTCTGATACCACTTTGTAGGAAATAGAAGTGGACTTAAGAGGAGGATATGATTTTCTATTCAGTTGTGGACTTGTCTTCAACTCAAGATTACATAGGTATTTATAGGACTTCCTATCACATAAATTCATCCCCTCAAATTAATTCTACTACATGCACCACACTTTACTAGATACACATTAATTAACAATACATGCATACATGAACCACAACATGTATTTCAAACTCCTAAATTCATGAAACTAAATTAAATAGGGTAAATGCATGTTTATTTTTCTAACAGTTATTCCTAACCATGAGTGATTGAAAAACTTGGTATCAAGGAAGACACTTTTTGGGATAACCTCCCGTATGGATGGAATGATCAAAAGATCATTACTTCCTATAAAAGTCTAGTTGTCTGAGTTATGTAATCTAGAATATAGGTCACTCTGGAGTGGATGTTGAAAAGAGTGGATATTGTAATGATGCTTTACGTTCCACATCACTAAGTGAAGATATAATTTGTGCATATATAACCACTTGAATACCCTCTTAATTACAACCCAATATTATAATTGACTTCTCCCCAAATTTATTTAAAATTATCGGCAAAACTCACATAACAGAAGATTTAAGCATTTATGGCTGGAATTTGTCTCAAGATTGTCCTTTCGAATTTCTGTTGATGAAAGATTTAATTTTCTGGGTTCAGCCTGTCTTCTTATTAAATTATTCCATTAATCATTCTTCAATATATACATTCTATTGTACTAAGTTCTTTAATGGAGTTTGCTAATTCAGAAAGTAAAACATTAAAGAGCATGAAAGTCGATCAAATGTTTAATGTTGGTTAATATTTCAAAATAAAATTTTCAATGTTGCTATCTATCATGATTGGTCATTAATTTAAGTCGATGTGGTAATGGTTCACTTTCACTTAAGTGGGTGCTAATCAGCAATAGTGATAAATAGCATTATTCAATGGTTTGGTCTTGGGACCCAACTTCTTAAAGATTTGGTTTAATGTTGAGTAGCACCATGGTGTGTTTAGACAGAAGAGACCCTCATTCAGATGTAGATAGGATTGATAGTGAGAAGATAAACAAAACAGTATACTCAGCAGTCCTTACGTTTGGTACAAAATATAAATTTTACTGACAAAATCGAGGAAACTTCAAGGTTTTTTTTCCTTATGTGGTCATACAATATAATCTTATTCACATTACAAAATACGTCCAAAAGGTGGGGCAGTTACAAAAGGGATATACATGAAAATGGCCTAAATAGTATATAACCTTTTCCAAAATGACCTTTGACTTTTTTAGAAATTTGAAACTACCCAAAATATCCTTGGAAAAATTTAACAACCAACCCTTTATACAATAAAAAGTTTCTTTTTTAGTCCTTAAAAAATCTAACAAATAATTTTTCTAAAAATTTGTAAAAATTATTAATGAATAATTATAAAATGGAAAAGC